CCCCCCCCCCGTAGGAGACACCTTGTCTTCTCGGAAACTGCTCTGCGGGTCACCGGGCCTGGCGGGTCCACCCGGCGCGGCCCCAGCCCCCGGGCCAGCCCCGCCCCCGGCCCGCCCCGCGCAGTCCACGGGCCCCGCCCCAGGCCAGCCCCGCCCCCGGCCCCGCCCCGCCCCGCGCAGCCCACAGGCCCCGCCCCCAAGGCCAGCCCCGGCCCGGCCCTCTGGCTCCGCCCCCAAGGCCAGCCCCGCCCCCAAGACCAGCCCCGCCCCGGCCCTCTGGCCCCGCCCCAGGCCAGCCCCGCCCCCGGCCCCGCCCCACCCCGCGCAGCCCACAGGCCCCGCCCCAAGTCCAGCCCAGCGCCTTCGGCCGGGTGGACGCCCAGCCTCGCAACGACGCAAGACGCCTGGGTGGCGTTGCCGGGGCTCCAGGAGACGCGCCCCGGGGGGCGGGCGGGCGCTTCCGGGGCGGAGCGCGGTCGCCGGAAGTGCGTGGCCGCCCGGGGCCATGGCGGCGCTCGGCGTCCTCTTCCTGGTGCTGCTCCCAGCGGCGTGCTGGCCGCCGGCCTCGGCCTGGGGCGAGGAGTTCTGGCCCGGCCAGTCGGCGGCCGACATCCTGTCGGGGGCGGCGTCCCGCAGGCGGTAAAAGGGCGTCCGCGCGCGGGGCGCACCCGGGGTCGGGCGCGGGAGCGCGGCAGTCCGGCCCGGGGACGCCGGGGACGCGGCGGGGCCTCCGTCGCCCGCACCCCCGCGCGTCCCCTGCGCCGCGAGCCGGGCTCGGCCTGGGCGGCTGTGGGGTCCGCCTGGAGGGGCAGCCCGGGGCCCTGTGAGCGACGCTCCGAGAGCGTCCTGGGAGGGCCCGGCGGCCGCGTGCGGCTGGGGCACGTCCGCCAGGCGAGTGCCGGGCGGGCCTCGGGCGTCTGGCGTGCGGCCGTCGCGGGGCTCTGGCACGGAGCGGACCCCGCGCTGAGCGCCGGCGGGGCGGGGTGGCGGCGGGCCCCTCCCGCGCGTGTCCGCGCTCCGGGCCGTGGGCCGTCCGAGCTGTGCTAGCGCGTTGAACGCAGAAGCGGGCGTGAAAAGAAGAGCTGCAGAAGCTACAAGCTGCCATTCTTCTGTTTTCGTTTAGAAAAGTTGACTTATTTTTCATTTAAAAATGCTCAGAGTAGTGCCCCGTAATGGCTCCTTATTGGTGTTTTAAGTGAGTTTGCAGAGAACTGCCAACCCCCGCAGAGCCCGGAGTCTGCACCGGCATCGGGCGCCTCCGCGCTGAAGGACCGCTCTCCTGCCCCCAGGTACCTCCTGTATGACGTCAACCCGCCAGAGGGCTTCAACCTGCGCAGGGATGTCTACATCCGCGTCGCCTCCCTCCTGAAGACGCTGCGCAAGGCCGAGGAGTGGGCGCTGGTGCTGCCGCCGTGGGGCCGCCTCTATCACTGGCAGAGCCCTGACATCCCCCAGGTCCGGATTCCCTGGGCCGACTTCTTTGACCTTCCGAGTCTCAGCAGGAACGTCCCGGTCGTCGAGTACGAGCAGTTCATTGCAGGTGAGGCAGGGGTGGCGGCGCTGTGTGTCAGCCCCGTCGCGGTGGCGCTTGACCGGTGCGGGGCCCCGCTTCTGTTTCCCACTTGCAGCTCCCAGTGAACTGAGCGGTGTGAGCCGCGGGCCCCCTTGCCTCTGAAACCCGGGGCGGCTGGTGAGCCAGCGGAGGGTGCTCGCAGCTGTGGCGGGGAGGCTGCTGGTGCAGAGCCCGGGCCTGCTCCCAGCAGGATGTGCCCTTGCGCGGAGAAGGCCCCCTGCCCGCTTGGTGCCGACCTCACGATGCCCCCTCAGTGCTGGCCAAGACTCGTCATAGTGCACCCTGTTCCACCCAGTCCTGCTCTGTTTAATTTTTTTAAAGAGAGAAGTTGAAGGTTTTCTTAGAACGAGGGTGTTCAGAGTTCAGCATTGCTTTCTTTAGGAGACATAAGCTTAAAAGGCAGTGACACACTTTTGCCGCTCCCTCAGCCTGGAAGAGGGAGGCGCCGACGCGATGCTGAGCTCCGGCGGCGTGAGGATCCGCAGAGCTCAGGACTGCAGCTGCCACGTCTTCGTTTTTCATGTTCTGCTCTCGCTGCGCCTTAGTCCCTGTCACTTTGGGACGTTTCCGTGGCGGGGCAGGCCTGTAAACGCTGCGGGGATATGGCACGAAATAGGAATCTCCTGGTGTCTTCGTTCATGGGAAGAAGCAGACTCTGAGACCTGTAAAAAACAGTCTTGGAATGCATCCTTCTGTGACCCAAGACAAGAGGTGTCGCTGGGTGCTTAGTCCGATTTAGTCTGGGAATCAGCCTCAGCCTTGGCCTGAACCACGGGTCCTGGAGCCTCCCAGAGAAACTGCCCCTCACCTCCGTGCAGCTTTCCTGACAGACGGACACAGGACAGGACTGAGCCTCAGCCATGTGAGGGGTGCTCAGTGGGGGCACTGGGTGTGCTGGGTCGGGGGCTGCTCCTCTCCTGCTCTTGAAGCCTCGAGCCTGTAGCCACCAGCAGGGCCAGTGGGGGCAGGAAGACGGGGCATCCTGGGTGACATGCTGCGGGGCAGGCGGGGCAGGCAGACCCGCTTTGCCTCCACCTGCCCAGCCATCCTCGACTTTGCTCAGCTGTCTCCCCCTGCAGAGGGGCAGAGGGAAGGGTGCCTGTCCTGGGACGGGCTTCCAGGACGTGCAGCAGGGCGCCAGGCATCTCACCGTCCCTGTGAGAAGGCCTCTGGAGCTCTGGGACCAGGCCCCACCAGCAGTGCAGCCCCTGAGCGGGGCGGGGGGGGCGGGGGGGTGTGGAAAAGACACCAGACTTGCACTTGATGCGGCTCTCTTGTGACTGGACTCTCTCGGGACGCGTCTTCGTTAAGCACTGTGGACGTGGCCGGCAGGTTCTAGGTGGGGTGAGTGCAGTGGGTAGGACGGACAAGACTTCTGCTCTCCTGGAGCCCCTGTGGGGAGCAGGGAGGCAGAAACCAAGTGACAGAAGTACCCAGAAGGGGAGGGGTGGCGCGGAGAAAATGAGAGTGAGAAAGGGTATGGGCTGTTGGGGTGGGAGGCTGTGGCCGGGCAGGTGTCCTGGCAGGTGCGGTTTGGATGGCCTCACGGGGGTCAGGCGTGAGCCCTGAAGGGAGCAGTCCCTGCGAGGCTGGTCCATGCAGGGAAGGGGGCATGTGCTTGTGGGGCAGCGGGGAAGACAGCGCGTGGGGCCTGTGACTGTCGTGAGGATTGGGGGGCCGAGGGCAGGGCAGCTGCTGGAAGAGGTGGGAGCGAGGAGCCCCTAGGAGCGGCAGGGCCCGGACAAGCTCCAGCACCCCCAGGCAGTCTCTCTCCGCCGTTCAGCACCTCGTGCCCTGGTGCCACTTGTTGTGTCCTGTGTCTGCTTCCGTGAGCTCTCTGCAGTCCTGCAGGGAGGGGGGTGGCATTAAACGAAGTAACGATTTCTCTGGGCCTGTGCATCAGCTTCTGATTCTTGTCACACGGTCATTCTTGGACTCTTCCAGAATCAGGCGGGCCCTTCATCGACCAGGTTTATGTCCTGCAGAGTTACGCGGAGGGGTGGAAAGAGGGGGCCTGGGAGGAGAAGGTCGACGAGCGGCCGTGCCTCGACCCGCTGCTGTACTCCCCAGACAAGCACGAGTACTACAGGTGCGGCCGCGGCGGGAGGCCTGGGGGGGGGGCAGCGGGAGCGCGGGCCACACTGTCACCGCTGCGGTGCGTTTGCACGTGGCGCTCTGGTTGCCCAGACTAGTTGCCATCGGAAGACCTCCCCGTGGAGGGGCTGTCCCCTCAGCAGCCCCCGTGGACAAAGCACCAGAATAATTGGGTTCTGGAAACGGTACTCTGGGAGCTCGTTGGAGGGCCACGGCCGTTTTCGGGGCCGTTTTACTGTCCGAGCTCTAGCGCGGAGGCTGGTTTCTCTCCTGGTCCTCCGCACTGCCCGGCTCTGCCCTCACTACTGCCCAGAGTTCCCAGAGCAGCTCCATGGTCCCACCAAATCAGATGAGATCGTGGTTTCTTTCCCAGTTCTCACGAGAACCCACTACCTGGCATCACGAGCAGTAGGTTTTCCCTGAGAGAGGTAGCTGCCTTGTCAAACGAAGCCACACGCCTGTGCGTCTGGGTTTACTTGTTGCGTGTGTGAAACAGGCTTAACGGAGGCGCTGGGGCTCTTGTTTTCCAGAGGATGGTTTTGGGGTTATGAAGAAACGAGAGCTTTAAACGTCTCCTGTTTGTCCGTTCAAGGATCAGCTTCCATCATGGCACCTGTACTGCTGAGAAACACGTCGGCGAGGTGAGTGCCCAGCAGGTCCGCGCGGTGACCGGCCAGTGAAGGAGCGTGTGCGCGCGTGCGTGCTGGCCTGGCATCGGAACCCTCCTTGCTGGGGCCTGTGTGGGGGGCACAGGAGAGGTAGACCTTGTCCCCACCCCACACCTGCGCCACAGTGAGGCGGGACTGGGAGAGAGCAGGAGGCCACGTGTCTGGGGAGAGCCCGGGTTTAGGGCGGCTCTCCGCTTCATTCGCAGTGTGCCCTGGAGCAGGCCGATAGAAGCACTTCACGATTAAATGCTTTCTGTCTTGTTTGGAAACAGGTCGGTGATGTTGGACAGAGCCGAGAACCTCCTGCACGACCACTATGGGGGGAGGGAGTACTGGAACGTGAGTGCCCCTCCCCCGAGGTCCCTGCGGCGCTGCTCGGGGCGCGTCTGTGAACGTGTGTTGGACGGCGCTTGCTGACCGCCAGTGTGGGGGGGGGGGGGCAGGGGGGGGGGGGGGGCGGGGGGGGTGGCGGGAACCGCAGCTCTGCACTTCGGGGCAGCCCCAGGGCAGCAGCGCGGGCCCCACGTGGTTGGCATGTTTGCGTGTCACGTGATAGGTTTGTTATTTATGGAAGCTGATTATTGAAAGAAAAAGAGTTTTTTACTTTCAAAAACATGCAGTTTGTATCTTGTAAGCTCCAGCCGCATGCTGCTGGTTAGTGGTACGTTAGCCAGCTTGTCTGCGTCCCAGGGGCGAGCGCACATCTGGCGCTGTGGGTCAAGCAGGAGCCTGAGGAATGGGCCTCACGCCCCCTCTGCAGCCGTCACCGCTTTGGGGGGTCTGCCCTGTCCGAGGGCCGTGGGGCTCCCGTGGGCAGCTGGGCAGGGCAGAGGTGAGGCACCTGTCGGGAGGACCCGGGAGAGACCGCTGCTCCCTGGACACCTGACCTGGGTGTCTCCTGAGTGGGTCATTCCCGAAGCGCAGAGGGGCCTTGTCATCCCCGCCCACGTGGTTCTCCGCCTCTCGCCGGCACCATGCTCCGCCCGCCAGCTGGGAGGACGGTGACCCCTCCCGCTAGCCACGGGCCCTTAAGCAGAGCCGGCTTCCTCCAGCAAGGGCCCGCCCCAGCACCGCAAGCTCCGCGTGTGGGGACGGTCCTCGTAGACCGCTGCTCACCGTCTGGGCCCGTGCGGGTCGAGGACCCGTCACCACCAGACTCTCAGGAGCCCGCCCTCATCTGACCTCCGAGGGTGCCGGGTCGCGACCTCGGCGTCCCCGTCAGAGTGTCGGGCTGCGCTGGGGGGGCGGGCGGGGCGGGGCGCCCAGCAGCGCGGCTTTCTGCACCCCGCAGACCCGGCGGAGCATGGTGTTCGCCAAGCACCTGCGGGCCGTGGGGGACGAGTTCAGAAGCAGGTACCTGAACTCCACGGACGAGGCCGACAGGACCCCCTTCGAGGAGGACTGGACCAAGATGAAGGTAGCGCCCCCCTCGGGTGCAGCCGCGGACGCGCGTCAGCAGAGCCCCCCGTCCCCGCGCGTCAGCGGAGCCCCCCGTCCCCCGCAAGCTCAGGGCGCGTCAGCAGAGCCCCCCGTCCCCCGCAAGCTCAGGGCGGCAGCTCGGGCCCGTTCCCTCCTCGGCGAGCCGGGACTCTCCCGTTGGCGCTGCCCGCCCTGTGGCACGGGGGCTGCTTCTAAAGGGTTTGGTTTTCAACTAAGAATGCACTGTTTCTCGGCGTTTCCGGTACAACGGGGCGGCACAGCGGTCCCCCGGGCGCTTGTCTGCTGGGCACCTTCCAGCAGAGCTGCGACATCCCAGCCCCGGGTTTTTAGGGCATTTGGAGAGTGTCTTCTCGGAAAGTGCAGTTAATGGGTGGTTTTTTTTTAATGTAATGTGCATGTTTTTTCCAGGCTTACGTTAACTTGAACTCACTCAGATAAAGGGTCTGTGTGATTAGCAAGTTCACGGTCTTAGGAAGACACCCGGCCCCCAGAGTCCCCCAGAGTCCCCGAGACAGGCCCGTGGGCGGGGCACTGCCGTGTGGGCCCATGTCGCCCGGCGTCCCGAGTGCCAGTGGCTCCCGGCCCTCCTTTGCCAGGTCACGCTGGGCTCCTCGCTGGGGGGCCCATACCTCGCCGTTCACCTGAGGAGAAAGGATTTCATCTGGGGCCACAGAGAGGACGTGCCCAGTCTGGACGGGGCCGTGAAGAAGATCCGCAGCCTCATGAAGACCCACCAGCTGGACAAGGTGTTCGTGGCCACGGACGCCGTCAGGACGGGTATGCGGCTCCGGCTCTGCCTCCGTCTGCCGACCCGTCCCCCGACCCCTGTCACGTCCTGGGCGGGCCCAGGTGCACCTGCGAGCCCGCAGTGTGGCTGGGAGGCAGCACCGGGTCCTGTGTCCGTGCCCCTGACCTTAGCCGGCGCGCGGCTGAGCGCGCGCGTCCCGTGGACGGTGCTGGCTGCACGTACGCAGCCCCCGGCCACCGGCTCTCCTTCGCTTTGCAGAGCATGCGGAGCTGAGGAGGCTGTTGCCTGAGATGGTGAGGTTCGAGCCCACGTGGGAGGAGCTGGAGCTCTACAGGGACGGCGGCGTGGCCATCATCGACCAGTGGATCTGCGCGCACGCCAGGTGCCTCTGCCAGCCGGCCGTGCGCACGCCGCACCACTGCCCGCCGTCGGCTCTGCCGTTTTCTGCCTGCCGCCGTGGCGGTTGGTCCCGTTGGCCAGGCTGCCGTTTCAACAGTCTGCTCCTCGCCTGTAGGCGTGTACTCCCCGGTACCGCCGTCAGACTTGGTCCGGGCTCCCCTTTCCCTCCCCGTGTCGGGGGAGGGACCCCACCCAGGGCCTCCTGAAAGCTGGTCAGCGCGAGCTCTGTGCGCGTCGTCGTCTCGGGAGGCACACGCACCCCAGAGGAGAGCAGGGGGACCAGGGCTGGGGGCGGCCAGCACGCTTCCGGTGGGGAGGGGGCTGAGAGGAGAGTTGCCGGCTTCCCCGCCTCTGCAGGATCCTCAGAACCACTGGGCCCGTGCGTGCAGGCTACAGGGTGGCGGCCCTCTCCTCTGAGCATGTGGGGTGGGGGTGATCTCTCTGCCCTGGGATCTCAGCCTGGCTCTCAGCAACCGCCCCCCCGAGCCCTGAACAGCTGGAATCCGGCCGCGTTCTCGAGTCCCTGCCGTGCAGGACCTGCGGCCACGACCTCCCCTCCCCCCACCCGGCTGCAGGGGTGCGGGGCTCCTTCCAGCGGCTCTTGTGACCTCTGGTTTGCTTGTTAGGTTCTTCATCGGTACGTCGGTCTCTACGTTTTCTTTCCGGATCCACGAGGAGAGAGAGATCCTTGGGCTCGACCCCCGGACGACGTACAACCGCTTCTGCGGGGACCGGGAGGTGGCGTGTGAGCAGCCCACACACTGGAGGGTCGCCTACTGAGCTGGCTGGCCCCTTGTGGGCCCCGCGCCCTGGACACTCTACACACACGGGCTCGTGGTCTTCCTCTGGGCACACGTGTGGCCTCGGGGTCGCGCCTGCCCTGCTGGTGGGCAGGGCCGCCCCACCCTCACTCTTTAGTCACAGTCACAGCCCACGGCCACGTGAGCCACGGCATGTGTCCGTTCTCAGTGTTTCCCCCACCGTCGGCTGCCTGGGACTCTGGCTATGTGTCACGTGGGGTCAGCCTGGGCCTCCACTGCTGGCAAGGTCGGTGTGACGTGAGGTGCGGGGCTCATTTCACTGGCTGGGCCTGGAGGGTGCCCGGCAGCGAGGGCCATGCCCGTGGACCTGCTGCGGTTTCAGCCTGTTGGTACTGCTCCTTCTGCCCTTTGACCTGCGTGAGGCCCCCACCAAGTTGGCAGGAAGGCAGACTGCCGCCGCCTTGCAGACCTGGGGCTGAGGCTTGTGGGGGCCAGTGAAGTGCTCTCTCCCCTCCCCGGCTCAGATGCCAGAAGGTTCCCCAGCAGGTTGTCAGGGTTTGCCGGGTTCGCACGGAGAGGAGCCCGTGTGGCCAGCTGAGGTGCTGTGGGCTGGCCGCCGGTGAGCGCCGTGGCGCTTCTGGGCCCCGAGGCAGGTGGGGGCGGGACCCCTTGGAGGGACTGAGCAGAGAAGGGGGCGGACAGCCTGGTTGCGCCTGCCTCGCGGTGGGCTGGGGGCCGAGGGGGCGAGGAGCACGGTCACTCCAGCCTCTGAAGGGTTTGGAGTGCGCTGCCAATCTCGGGGCTCGTGTCACTGCCCGGAAACCCCTTCTGGGCCTCGGGCATGGCCATCACCCATCCCCTCTAACCGGGAGCCCCAACTTCCCCCAGACACCCCAGGGGGAGCCGCCGAGGCCGCGGCCCAAAGCCCGGGGGCTGCTTCTGTGTCTTCTTCCCGAGCTCTGAAAACCCACCCCAAACACGCGCTAGGGTCCTGTGGCGTCGCTTACGGCTGTGCAGGGGAAACAATGAAGTATTTATTCTTTGCCCATTTGTACCTTCAAATACTATTAATAAAATACATTTTCTAGAAAACTGGAATCCTAGAAACTTTTTCGCACCCTTGAATTTTTTTCCACTTGAAAACTACGAACAGTCCAGACTGTGACCTTCATTTTCTGTTTCGAGGAAAACAATTGTTTCGTTCTACTTGGTGTGCCGTCTCCCTCAGGCCGTGGTGGCACAGACGGGGAGAGCGCCATCTCCCGTTTATCCGCTGCTCGGCTTTGCTGGGACGAGCTGGGCACTGGGAGAGCTGTGGGTCAGGCACCGGGAGGCCAGTCGTCCTGGGTCCGTTCTCGGGAAGGACCAGCCCGCATGCCCCATCCGCGTCAGCGGGCAGCACGGTGGTGGGAGGCGGGTCGGGGGCTGCAGGCAGGGGCGGCAGGCCTGGCGAAGCTGCTGTCACCGCAGCCCAGCCCAGCACCAGGAGGACAATTGCGGGGAGGGGCGGAGGGTGTCTCCTGGGCCCCCGAGGCGGGTGGGGGCGGGACCCCCCTGGAGGGACTGAGCAGAGAAGGGGGCGGACAGCCTGCAGGCCGGGGGCCGGGTGAGACTGGGTTGGGGGCCGTCAGGGAGGGTGGGACTCCAGGGGGACTCCGCCGCTGCAGCACTTCATGGGGGCCTGGGGGGGCAGGCGGGACACTGGGCGGACTCTTCAGGTGGAAAGCCTGGCGCCTCAGTGGGTCCTGGCTGTGCCCCTGACGGGGCAGCTCGGCATCACGGGAGGGCCCCCGGGGGGCTGCTCCACGGGGCAGCGGCCGGTGCGTAGCGCGGACTGCCGTTGGCAGGCTCGTGTGCAGTTGTGCGTTGGTGCCGCTCAGACACGAGAGTGAGGGATGCGGGCAGACGTGGCCCTCGCGATAATCAGCCCTCCCGCTCCGAAGCCCCGATGGGCCTCCAGAGGCCTGCGTTTCCGCAGACAACCTTCCTTCCAGCAGAAGGTGAACGAAAACCATCCTTTTGTTGAATAATGATTATTCATTTTCCTTTGCTTCCTGCGGGCTGTGGGCTCCTGTCGGGCGGGAGCGATTACGGGCCCTGGCTGTTTGTGCGGCATCTGGTGGGGGGTGTCACCCGCACGCAGGTCTTCCGAGGACAACGGGGGGGTGGTGAGGTCCAGGGGAGGGCAAAGCTTACCGTCCCGGCCTCGAGCAGAGCCTCGAGCGGAAGGACCAGAAGGGCTCGGGTTGGAGGCCCCCTGACCACCGGCACGTGGTAAGCACGTGGAAAGTACCTGCTGGCTCAGTTCGGGGTGCATGGCCAGCTCCCGGGTGTCCCCCCACCCTTCTGTCCCACGTGCCTGGCGGCCGGGGCACTGGCTGCTGGGACCAGGTGCCCTTTGTGGTGCGCTGGGCAGGACGGGGCTCAGGCCTCGGAATGGAGCTCTGCTTCCAGCCCGACGGGATCCCCGCTGGCTCGGGAGGCGGGGGGCTGCCCTGAGTCTCAGCCCCAGTTCTTCCTCCAACAAGGGAGCCCCCGGGACACCGCCAGGCCCCCACTCCCACGCGCCTCCCAGCTTGCTTTGTGTGTTTGCACAAGACCGTCCCCTTTGAGCAGGACTCAGCAGGAGAAAACGTGCGCTCGCGGGTGGTTTCCTGCAGCACATCCAACTCACGGGCAGGGCCCTGGGCGCTGGGGGGTCGCCGAGGGCCCGGGGGGTGGTGGGCGGGGAGACCACCACCTCCCTGCCTGCGCTGCTGGGTCCTGGGCGCCTCAGGCGGGGCAGGGCACTTGAAGAGGCTGCCGCTGGGCCTGGGGGTCTGGGCTGACGTTGCCTCCAACCCCAGCCTGGAGATCCGGCAGCTTCCACGCACCACGGAGCCACAAACAGCCGTGCCAGATGGGCTGGGGACGTGCGGTCCACTCTGAGGCCAAGGGCTGGGCAGTGAGCAAGAGCAGGGGGTCCAGGTCCCCTGGCGACCCCAGGCAGGCCCCCCACCCCGGCCACAGACAGAGAACCTGACTCCCGGCGGCCTCAGGCCTGACTCCACATGCCCAGCTGCCTGACTGGGCACCCAGCTGACCTGCCACACTGGACCTGGGGCCTTCCACACTTCGCGCCTTGGCGAACTTGGCAGGTGCCCCTTTTGTCATCCCTCTATATCCCCCAGCAAGCCAGGCTGTCCACGGAAAGTGGCAGAACAGTGTGGGCCATGGAGTATGTCTCCACACTTTCACCTTCTCCCCCATTTACAGATGGGGAAACTGAGGCCATTCAGGGCAAAACGATGGCCAAAGCCACTGTGGGAGCGGAAGCCTGAACCAGATCAGGGTCTCTGTGACCCCTCCCCCGTGTGGGTCCTGCCTCAGGGGCCAGGGAGGGGGTGACAGAGCGCCTGGGTGGGGTACTCCGTGGGTCCCCCCCAGCCAACTCTCCTGAGGGGACCTTGCCCCCCACCCTCTGCCCCCCAGGCCGGGGCTCGGGCGATCGACCTGGGGAAACCCTGCACCCACAGGAGCGTTCAGCCCTGGGCCCTGAGCCGGGGACATGGGGCCTCGCCAAGCCGGTCCCCCCTCAGACCCGGGCCCCAGGGCCCGCCAGCCTCCTGCACCACTGACCTCCGTGGGCAGGAGTCTCCGTCCGTGCGCCCCTCATCCAGCTGCCCGGCGCACTTGCTCTTTCCCCCTCTCGGCTCGGCCGGTGGAGACCGTCTCACCTTGGCTGCAGGGTCGCCGGCCCCAGCTGAAATCTCATTAGTGCAGGACAAACTCAGTCATCAGAAGCTCCCTGGTGGGCAAAGCTCGTGGGTGTGCCCTGCAAAGTCCCTGCCATGGAGCGTTCCCGTCACAGGGTTTTCTGCCGCGGCTCCCAGCAGTGAGGCCATGCAGCCCCCAGAAGGTCTACATGGTCTGAGCTGGACGCTGGCCGGGACAGCATCCGGCGACCTGAGTGCGGACAGAGCCCTGCGCCCCAGCCGCCGGCTCAGCAGGACCACAGAGCAGAGTGTCACCGGGCCCCACGGCCGGGCGCCCACCGCACCTCGCTGCCCAGCTCCTTCTGCTGGGGACATCATTCCCTCAGATACCTTATTCGGTGGGCCCCATTCCAAGCCTGAGCCCCAGGGAGGAACAGAGCGTGCCCTTGGCAGACGCAGCTCCGTGACACATGCACGTCCAAGGGCAGGTCACGCCACGGGCCGCCACTGCAGGGCATGCAGACATGGCCACAAAGTGTGTTTTCAGCTTGCCAGTTTCCAGACCACCGTGGACTCACACGCAGTCACAAGAAATAATAGTGCTCCCTTCAGTCGTGTTGCCACTGGTGAGCCCTGCTCAGCCTGAGCACCCGCGGTGATGGGGCCACAGACCTGCCACCTGCACCAGTGTGTGTGTGTGTCTGCACGTGTGTGTGCACGTGGGGGCACGTGTGTGCATGCCTGTGTGCACGTGTGCCCGTGCATGTCTTCACAAGTGTGCGCGTGTGTGTGAGTCTCCACAGTCAAGACGGCCCCCTCCCATGACCCCTGTGCCGCCACCACCCACAGCTGGTGGCCACCCCTCTGTCCCTGTGGCTGCACTTTTGTCACCTCGAGAGTGTAACGTAAGTGGATGGTGCAGTCCGTAGGCTTTGGAGGCTGGCTCTGCTTCCTCAGCAATCTTGACTTCTTGGTGTTAGGGGTGTTATCGTAACTTAATCAGGGGAGTAGTGACGGAACGTTCCCGCTCACGCAGCTTCTGCGGGGACCAGTGTCTCTGGGTGGTGTGCGTGTTGATTCACACTGGGGCTACTGCATAAAACCAGCTTGTATTTCTATGCAGACAAGGTGCACCGTGTTGAGCCCGAGATGCCCTCTGGGCTGCAGGGTGACCCCTCATTCACCCTCTTCTGCACCCTGCAACAGCATCCCCTCTGGGCACCCCAGCCCACACCCGTGACCCCGAGCCCCGGAGTGGGCCGTGGGCGGGGCTGGGCCTGGGGTAACCTCTAGGAGCAGGCGTTCTGACGGAGCGGACCCCCAAGAATGCCGTTAAACAGAATCGAGAGCCTGGGGTCTTCTGTGCTGAAGGGAGGAAAAGGGGTGTGAGAGCCCCCCTGTAACAGATTAACGGATGGTCAGGGAGGGGCGCTCAGGCGGGCAGGACCACTAAGACCTGAAGGGCTGCGAGCAAAATGAACTCAGAGGCACCTGCACCGGGAGGTCTGAATGCCAGGGGACAGCTGGGCCCCTGCCGGTGGAAGAGCACCAGAGGAGAGGGGGCCAGTGCAAAGGCCCTGAGGTACGCCCAAGTCTGACTTGTTTGAGAAACAGAAAGCGGGTTCCAGCCCCCAGTATGGTGGTGCCCGGGCGTGGCACGGGACAGGAAGGCAGAACCCCGCAGTCATGGAGCCCCTGAGGCCAGCAGCAAGGGGCCTGGGGTAGGAAGCTCTGTGCTCTGGTTTCCGGCTTTGGAGAGAGTTCCGGCTGCAGCAGGAACGGGCTGGGAAGGAGCCCCCGCAGTTGGCTGGCTAGGAGCATGGAGAGCGGCAGAACCTGGGGCCCAGTGGTCCCCGGTTGGATGGTGGGCGAAGTCCAGAGCCAGGAAGTACGATGGGGACGTGATCAGAGCTGGACGGCCACCCCGAGATGCCTTGGCCGGGCGTCCCTCCTCCTGGGGGGCCCTGGAGGCTGTACCTTGCAAATGAGGAGAGGTGTCCCCGGAGCAAAGCCCTTCCCTGGAGGACAGCGCCTTCTCCAGCTACTTCTGATAAACACAGCAACTGTTCATGCTTCACCTTTCCCATTTCATCCCGAAGCCAGAGGCGGACAGTGGATGCGGACACGGGAATGCGCAAGGACTCATGTCCCCCACCCTCACCCTGCACTGGAGCTGCTGCTGGGACCAGAGAGAGCATCCGGAGAAGGTCACGGAGAGGACGTGCAAACCACGTCCACGCACGTCGGGCTCCTCTCCCTACCCCCCAGAGGGGCACGTGGTCCTTCACAACCGGAAGGTTTGCATCAACCCCCCTGGGCGTGCGTGGACGTGGTTTGCACTGACCCCGGGAGGGTCACGGGGAGGAGCCGGGCGTGCGTGGACGTGGGCCCTGGAGG